TTGCCCTGCAATTTTTACAGACAGAACTAAGGTGCTCAAGTTTGTATGATCTCTAACATTGTCAAGTATCATGTTTGCATTGTTTGATGATGTGTATTATTAAGTTCGAGTGACAGTGATTGCACTTTTCTCATACATATTCTCATCATCCTCATCATCATATTCTCAAGGGATGAAATACCTGAGAATTGTCAACAGAATCAATATTAGCTATAAATACAAAATACAAGTTTTAGCTATACCACCACTTGAAATCATGATTTTCTTTTTTAGAGGTTCTTCATGTATGAAAAGTATCATTACCTACAGTCATTTGAAACCAAGTTTAAAATGTCATCTTCTGAGGTAATTCTTTTTTTGAGGTGCTTCTCGGTGCAAAGTAGAATGCATTTAGCATGGAGGATGGAGCAGATGAAGCTGTGTCTCTGAGAATCTGCATGTAGGTAGAGGTTGATTGTAAAACTGAAGGGAATTGTCACAGTAATCAAGTTACTTCAGTGTAAAAACTGTGATTGTATTCATATTTTGGATTCTAGAATAGTGTTAGCAAGTCATCTATCTGTAATGCAAATTACATGTATGTGACAGAAGGTATATACACAGGGAAACATGCACTGCAAAGTTAAGTTTTAAAAAAGGTACCAGTACTTTACAGCTGTAAGGAAAATTAGATATAACATAATATTTGATTTTTTTAGCATACAGCTGTATGGTTTTCTTTTACCTTTAATTTTTTAGTTGTTTATTACAGCTGGAAAAAAGATAATTGTAGTCATTCAGAAATGTGGATGCAATGCTTGTCATCAACTGTAATCAAAGAAATCTGACAAATTGGTTTTTGTGGCTTACCATAAAATGTGGGCTTTATAGGATGTCTATTTTATGATTCTCAGAAAGATCTCATAAACAAAACTATGAAAAGGATAAGATAAAGAGTTCAGATCTAGGTTATAAAGTGGGATGTGCTGGGAGAGGATGAGGCTATGAAAGGGAGGATTGTGAGGTTTTGATATGGCTTTTATATTATGTTATTTGTCCAGCAATGCTTCTTGTCAAAGTGGACGAGAAATTAAACATGATGACAGTTTCCTCCAATCCCGGTTCTTAACTTCAAATTTCCTGCTAGCAAGAAACTGTGTGAGTTTGGTTATCCTACTTGCCTTGGGTGTATGAAACTATGTACGTTAAAAATAATGCATCTCATCTCTGATATTGTCTCATCATTCTTGATCACTATTTTCCCCTCTCTTTCTCACGCAATGTCCCTTACTATTTATCTCTCTAAGGATCATGACCATGTTTATCAATTTTTGTTCTAAAATGAAGAAAACTTATAAAAACAAAAAATTATTTTAGGGAGATTTGGTATTTTTTCCTAGTATGAGTGTGAGACACACTTACAAATCAACTAAAAGATGCAAATATCTTTTTCACATGCTAAATGATCACCTTTTTGTCTGAGACTTTCTTATTTGATAGTTTAAGATTAGTATACAATTTTTCCAATAGCTTTTCCTGTAACACTCTCTTCATTATTTTTTAAAAATCTTTCCTCTTTGAGTTGCTTAAATTTTGATTTGTTTCACTTTTTTCTCTATTTTCATGTTCCTTTATTTTTAAAATTGAAAGACAGAGAGAAACAGGAAGAAGAAAATATAAAAGAGAGAGAGAGAGAGATAGAAGGAAGGGGGAGGGAAGGAGGGAGGGAGAGGGAGAGAAAGATTAACAGAATTGGGAGGAGTAAGTAACAGAGGTCATTTATAGAGAAAAATCCACCCATGTACATGTAGACGTGAAAGGTCTAGGTCTAATATGGGTCAAGGAATAAGGGTTGTCTTTTAGATGCCACAAAAACTTCCTGTTCACATCCCAAGGGAAACTCATCCTTCATTATATCACATATTTAAATTAAGTAGAAGCAGCTGCAATACTCCTATAGGTTCTTCCAATCTGTATCGTCTAATCATCATTAGACATTGAACTAAACTAATTTCATCAGTGTTATTATTGAGTTTGTATGCCATACCTCCATTGCCAGTCATAGGCACCCAAAGTGTACATGTATTGAACATTTGTTTTACCATTGCTTGAAAGTTTTTCTTCTTCTCTTTCTTGAACTTTCAAACAGGCTCGTAAATGATTAAATTTGATATTATGAAATTCTGTTTTAGCAAACTGAGCAAATGAAAAATGAACCATAAGTAAAATGTTGGGGTACTAAAAAGTGAGGGCATTAGGGAATATCCATATGAGGAAAATGTGGGACAGTCTGATACACCTGAGGCGACAGCAGAGGCTAGATAGCTATGCTTATGCCCAAACATTTTGATGTTTATTATTTGTTTCATAAAATGTTTATGTGGATTCTTGTCATTTAAAAAAAATCGCCTTCATCAGCAGGAACATTAAAATTGAGAAAACTGACTTATTCTAGTCAATGTAAAAAATACTGTTTGACATGTTGGAACGCTAACTTGAAAAAGATCCAGGTTCTAACCTACACTGACGTTATGTTGAGTCCAAATCTAATTTAGATTAGGGTCTGTCCTCCCTAATTTAAAAATAGCAATTATCTTAGAAAGTGTAAAAGTTGAACCTCAAGTAGACTAACTACACATCATTTGTTTGAATATGATAGTTCTGTACAAACGTGAAATGTTTGAGTGTGTGCAATAAATGTTCTATTTCTTGTTAATTAAACTTTAAAGTCTTGCCATAAAAACATGGTACGAAACATGGAATAAATATGGAATAAATCATCTGTTTAGCTCATGTCATTTAACAAAAAGTTAACTCCCTTCTTGCTCAATGATGAAATCATAAAATGTATAAAGATGCTATCCATTGCTATTATCGAAAAGTGCTGTTTTATCTTGACTCTAGAAAGTAACTGTTCATGAAAGGTTTATGAACATAATCTGCTTAGATTCTGCTCTTGATTTCTGTTAAGTGTTAGTAATGAATAGAACATCTTGGTCTAGTTCCAGTTGAACTTAATCATGTCAATCCATCTCTAAAGGGGCCCTGGATGTGTTGATATCTTAGGAGCTCTCTGCCAGGACTACATTTTATCATTAGGCTCATTTACTTGAAAAACTGCAGCTTTTTATGAATTATGTTGATATTAAAGCATTTAAGCTTATAGAAAACCATGCCAGAAATGAAAAATCTTTGGGAAAGTTGGGTGACTGCATATAAACATCCACCTCCAATTGTATTCATATCTGTCCTGTAAAAGTATTGCAAGTTTTAATGGATTAGTGTGCAAAGCAACTTCCAACGGTGAAGTCATGAAGTTTCTTGGTTACCGTGAACACATCAAAAGCAGCAATAAGCATATCATGATATTATATCTTGATGTTAGCAATGTTTGGATTGTAGTGTTAATGGGTCTGTGACCGTGAAGTGAGCCCTTACATCTTGATGTCAATGATGTTTGGATTGTAGTATGAATGGGTATGTTAAAGATTGAGACAGTACTTGATGTTTGGATCATAGTGTTAATGGTCTGTGACAGTTTAGTGAGCCCTCTTTACATCTTGATGTTACTAATGTTTAGATTGTAGTGTGAATGGGTCTGTGATAATGAAGTGAGCCCTTCACACATTGATAAATTACCCAGGGATCACTTCCTTCTCTCAGCATAAGAGACATAGTTCACTGTCCTTCCAATCTAAGATGTATGTGATTACTTAATAGAAGAAGGTTATGATTCATAATGAGTCACTTACCACTATTTAGATGCCATTCAAATTCTGCTTCAAGTTTTAAATGTTTGATCTAATGTTAGCTTTTTAAGAGTCATACCTGACATCGCAAATTTTAGGAACTAAGTGAATTGAACCTTTAAAAATACATTTCAGTTTGCCTTTACCTCTTGGAAAGAGGTAAGATAAATATATCATTGGCATCAATCAACAGAGAGAAGTGAAGTAATAAGTAGATAAATTTGTACTCTACTACAATGTATCTGATACCCCAGTCACAACAATGATTCTGACATCAAATCAACAACATATACATTCCACTGGATAGTCAAGAATCAGTCAGTTTATAGTTGGTTTGAAGCGGATTTGGTAGTGTGACTGACATCAGATTGGTAATTCAAGTCATAGACTTATAGTATCCTATTTAAAGTTATGAAAATACTTGAAATATAATTGGCTGATTATTAAAGACGAACTTACAATTTTAGTCACTTGTTTCAAGAAAGAGCATAATAAGTTCAATATTAAGCCTCACAGTCTCCATCTGTTCCTACAGCCTGCACTACTTGCTTAATTTCTCATAATTTTATCATTATATTTTTTACATTTCACTCCAAGGAGTTACACGTAATCACACTCTAACTCTAACACTGTAATATTTGAATGAGGCAGTGTAGATGTAAAAAAACAGGGAATGATGATAAGAAAGGACAATCACTTGGATATAGTTACATTGATATTAAGAGTGATGACTGTAGGACCTGGCATCGTGTGAAAACAATTATGAATAGGTTTCTGTGATATAATGGTCAAATAGTGACCTGGTGACTGGAAGTTATGTATGGACACAGGAGGCAAGTTATCAACTTATCCGTGAATCATTTTATTCAGCTTCCTTAAACTGACTTTATACTCATAGTCCTGAGTGTGATTAAGTGAAACCATATTGGGTTCCACTGGAAAAGATAAGAAGTTGACATGCAAGAGTCTTACTTTTAGAAATCTTTGCTGAATATAAGGATTATAAAAGTGAGTATTCACTGCTTAATATAGTTGAATGAGCAAAAGTGATTATAGCCTCGCATAACTCATATCCTTTGTCTTTTAAGTTAAATGCCCCCATGACTTGGCCACTCTTTTTAGCTTTATTAGTTCAGTTGTTAAAGAACACCAAATAAAGGGAGTCTTTTCTCAACTAGTAATTAATCGTAATTACGTAGACATAAGAAAAGTTGTATTAGAAATTGTATGAGTTAATATCCTTTTAATTTTGCCTTTTTTTCATTTCTCTAGTCTTCTTCTGGAATTGTAAGTTTTGTCTCAAGTTCACTTGCTTAATTTCTCATAATTTTATCATTATATTTTTTACATTTCACTACAAGGAGTTACACGTAATCACACTCTAACCATTCACAATTACCACTTCTATATTTTTTTAATTAAAATCATATACTTCGAAGAAAACATTATTGTCAATTAATTTAAGAAATTTTCAATCAAAAGATATATTAAGTATTTTGTTAAAAGTTTGAAAAGTTTTCTTGAAAGTTGAAATTGTAAGTCAAATTATTTTTAAATCTTTTATTTCATATATGTCACTTTATTGATATTTAACACATTAAATGACTTCAGATTCTATATTTCCAGTTCAAATGATCTTAAGTCTGTTGATGATGGACTCTATTTGAAAGCATATTTATTCAGCTTCATATGAAAGAATTATCTGAGTTATTTCATGGAAAGAAATTCATGTGCTCATTCCATTTCTGCATTTCCATATTGTTTAAGTACACTACTTGTGAAATACTTTGCACATGTTTACACATTTGTTTTGAGTTTTACCAACAAATCTTTTACTTTTTTCAAATACCTCATTAGCAGTGTCACAATCACATTGAAACCTGTTTCCTTTTTTGGTCACTATCCATTTTATACAATAATTTTTTTTTGTGCATATTTTTTTTTATTCATCCTTTAACCAAATATTATTTTGTGTTAACAAAGAAGATATTGGTATGCTTCCAAGTGTTCTTTTTTATGCTACTGCGCATTGCCACAATCGTTGTCAAGTATCTACTTTTCTAAGTTTTCTTCTGTTTTAAATTGTACTTGCACACACTGCACATTTCTAATTTGATTTCTCATTGTTGATGTGTCTTAGATTTGACATAAAAAGTTGACAACAGCTGATATTGATGAATTGAATATTTGGTTTCTAACAGGTGTCATACAAGAGCCAGGAAGATGTTAATTATATGTTCAGTTCTTGGTTCATGCCCTTCTTGCTCACAACAAGCAAATTTTCTTCTAATAAATCAAAAATCCAGTTCTCTAAGTATCATATTCATATCGATAGAGATTTTGAAATAAAGTGTTATTTTCATCATATAGCACAAATTTTGTTCAATTTTTCTTTACATGTTTATGATTTTATCAACTTGCATGTTTCTAATATTGTTATGAATGTATAGTTTTAAAATAAGGATGAATGTTTAAGATGATATGAGACATATCCAATTCTTGCTATTGTATGCCATTCTCAATACAACTGAACATAGTTATGAAACATTGATTCACTTTTGCAAAAATAAAACCCTCATCAAAACGACAACTTATGCAGTAATGCAAACATCAGATATTCTAAAGTTCTTGATGTATTCAGTTGATGTGATGAACAACATGTACCTTACCTAATAATATATGCACCATACAAGACTATAATCATTATTACTTATTCTGTGCATTATTTTATCCCCCTCCTCACAGGAAAAAGTCTCGAGAGCGTGCTTACGAGGTGGTAGCTGAAGAGAGCCTTGGGGGCCATCACAGAGTTACCGAAGGAGATGGGGAGTATGATGGATCTACTCCCAGGAGGGGTGGTGAAAGGGGCAGACTCAATGTCACAGTCGTCCTCAATAAAGGTACCAACTAAAATCTGATGGACTAGAACAGTTAACAAATGCACAAAGTCAAATTAACTATTTCTATGCTCATGAAAGATCAATCTGGAAATGTAAGATCCCCCTATAGCACTTCTTTTGTTTTAATATTGTTTTTACAAGAGTTCAGTTTCAATTTCCAGAGCTCTTCAAAGCTTTCCACAGTAGGTTAGAGCTTTCCACAGTACTGCAAAGCTTTCCACAGTATTTCAAAGCTTTCCAAAGTATTTCAAAGCTTTCCAAAGTATTTCAAACTTTCCACAGTATTTCAAAGCTTTCCACAGTATTTCAAAGCTTTCCACAGTATTTCAAACTTTCCACAGTATTTTAAAAATGTCCACAGTATTCCAAAGCTTTCAACAGTATTCCAAAGCTTTCCACAGTATTCCAAAGCTTTCCACAGTATTCCAAAGCTTTCCACAGTATTCCAAAGCTTTCCACAGTATTCCAAAGCTTTCCACAGTATTCCAAAGCTTTCCACAGTATTCCAAAGCTTTCCACAGTATTCCAAAGCTTTCCACAGTATTTCAGAGCTTACCACAGTATTCGAAAGCTTTCCACAGTATTTTAAAGATTTCCACAATATTTCAAACTTTCCACAGTATTTTAAAGATTTCCACAGTAATTTTAAGCTTTCCACAGTATTTCAAACTTTCCACAGTATTTTAAAGATTTCCACAGTAATTTTAAGCTTTCCACAGTATTTTAAAGATTTCCACAGTAATTTTAAGCTTTCCACAGTATTTCAAAGCTTTCTAGAGCATTTTAATAGTGATTTCCATAGGTAAGTTTGTATAGAGCATTCCATTAGTTGCTCACCGAAGCCCTTCTCTAATTCAAGAGCTCTTTAAAATAACTTCTCATCTTAGCTAAACTGCTCCTTACAGTAGAAGTACTATTAGTTAGAAGACAATGTGACATGTTGTAAATGTGATTGTACAACATGTCCTGATGACATTTAGTATGTTATCTAATACACTAGTTGAATTCCCAACACTTCAATCAGAGGCTAGTTTTATGTCTAGCCCTAGACTAGCCCTAGCCTAGCCTTAACCTGAAACGGAAACTGATCCTAAATCTTTGAAAAAAATAATACCCTGGATCAAATATTGCCAGAGGAAACTTGGGTTCATTGCAAATTGTTGTTGTCCGCCTTGACAATTTTCAAATGCAAAAGTTGTTATCTATTTGCTATGTTTTTTTAATATTTTCTTATTAGAAAACAAATACGGGAAATAGACTTAAAACATTTGGAACAAAAGATAGATAAATGTAAATATTCAGAGTTGAAAATAGTCAAAAAACACTTTCTGTGCTGTTTTCCCCCCACTATTTTTCAATTAACTTTAGACCTATATTCGACTAGGCCCACTCTAATAAGGTAGATGGTTGTATATTGCCTACACATCAAAATTGATTATTCTGTAAGGGATAGATAGCATTTGGTTAGTCTGTCAGTCATTACAAATTTATCAGTACAGAAAGAATAAGAAGAGAATTCTGAATTGTCAAACCTTGGATAATCTGAACATGTGTGCCACTTATTCAAGTTGACAGGGTATATCTTGTATTAAGGTCACGCATTGTCCTTATAATTATCATTAGATCTGTACTGAGATTTTTATTAGGATTTGCCAGCATAACTGATTTGTATGTAGATGGCTCATTTATTTCCTTAGCCAGAGCCCCTCAACACACTTTTTCAATTAGTTCCAGAGAAGTTTGAGTTTCTGATCAGAAAAGTACCTCAAACATGCATTTTGCAGGGTTTCATTTAGACAGTATTTCATCACTGTGGTCAATTTGGAGATATAATCTATCACTGTCTCTGTTCAGTTTAAATACAGGTATATATACATGTATTTTGTATAATTGTGGTTTTACTTAAGAATATATATTGTCAATTTTGGGGTAAGTACTATTATATGTCTTTATGTATATGAGTTTGTTGCTGTCATATATGCATTGATATTAAATGTCACTGTGTTACATTGTCATGTCACTAAGACGTTTATTAAATTGTAAAGAATTAAAATTGTTTTGTATTAAAGTGAAATTAGCCTTTGAAGTGTCTAGGATATTGATGAGCTCTAAGTGTGTTACATGGGACTATTCACAGGAGGCTGTGCATATCCGTGATTGCCCTCAGTCTCAGAGAAGTAGAATCAACATGCATTAGTCTATCCATGGATCAAATTGTTAATAGCCCCATAAATTGGATTTGAGGTTGCAATTTACACTTTTAGACTTTAATCGTTCTTGTAAGCTGTGTTGTATTTTGCTCTAAGTAAGATATACCCCCTTCATCTGATTTTAATAGTGTCATACAGTGTGGATTATTCTCATGAGAGCCTTATTGATAGTGTCTTGGATGTGCTAACCAGGACTTGAATATCACAAGGAAACCAGCCACTTAGCACGTTATAGAGATAGGTAAACAATCATCAGACTCCTGTCTCTTCCATATGCCACAAAATTGGCAACACCACTTCTCTGGATTAGCTAGCTTGACCACTAGCTCTGCAAGACATTATTTCTGCTTTGACTTTCTGACAGTGAGGATCTATAAGGAAATATATTGTTCAGAAAGCATGTTTGGACTCTGTGTAACATCTCCTGAATATGATGATTGCCATTCTTTAATAGTTTGGATTAATTTGGAGTGATATCTTGCTGGAGTTGTTAGCCTTTCTGAGGATGTATATGTGTGTCAACATTATGCCCCGGTCAAGGCTGTATGCTAGATTGAAAGTTTTCAAAAGTATGTGTTCTTATTTTGTATATTTCTCTGACATCATTTTTGTTGTTGTTGATCTTTTTACTGCTGACATGTTTAGTAGAGAGCGTTGAATAATCTTTAATCTTTGATTCATTATACAGGGTCAAGAAATAAAGTTCTAAAGTTCAATTGAGGACCACTTTTGACCCTTAAAGTTGTCTAATAGTTTTAATACTTGAATGTTAGTAACGTATTGAATACTCAACGTAATTCAGGATTCAACACATGTTACATACATTTAAAAAGGAAATGTTATCATTTCCAGTTGGTTTTAACAAATGAACGAAATTGTTTTATTACAGAAACTATTACAGTGGATTGTTATAGAGTTTTTGAAATAAATTCACCCTCTTCCCCATCTGTTTAATTTATATCCATGTTTGAACGTTTGATTTGTTTAAATCATATATACCTACTATGAACTACTGTTTAAAGAAACTTGAAAATGAGTCACCAATTTGTATTGCATGTCAGTATGAGATGTACTGTGAAAGCATAACAAGAGATGTATTCCCTTGTTTAGCCATGAACAGGTTTTTGATTGTGACCAGACTTCCAGTTTATTATGAAAATAAAAATATGTAAGAAGATGTGTCAAGTTTTCTTTTGTTTCTTATTGGTTTAGCCCCAGGTATAAGCCTTGGCCTAGGAGTGGTTAGTCTACCTACTCCAGACTGTAACAATGAGAGAAGAATATACATCCAACATCTTGCCACCGACTCTCCTGCAGATATGAATGGCAGGCTATGGTAAGTAGTTTCGTTCTATTTCTTTTCTTTCCTTTCCTGAGCCATAGTAACCGATTGAACTGGATGGTTTCTGTATTAAAGGTAAATTAATTAGAGAATTCAGCAGTCAACAGTTTAATGATTTATTTAAAGTTAATTTTACGTATTTTCTTGATGATGATTGGAATATGCTAATGGAAACATCAATGAACAAAGAGTATGAAGAACAGAGTTTAGAAACTCCTTTTGAAGTTAGCTCAAGCTTTGTTAAATTTCACTGCCCTTTGTTCTGTGGGCGGCAATCTTGTCAAGAATATTATGATGTGCCACATGTTAGGAACAAGGAAACCTAGATCTACTTTTGTTCCTCAGGAACAAATATGTTAAATTGATGTTTTGGGCTATATATATATATATATATATATATATATATATATATATATATATATATATATTTAATGAGAATACAACATATGTCAACTAAAGATTTGACTTGTGAAAGCCCATTTATTATCACTTTAAACTCAAACTCAAACTTTATTCATTTATTGTGAATGTTATTATCACTTTATTGTGAATCTTATTATCACTTTATGGTGAATGTTATTATCACTTTAATATTGTGAATGTTCGTGAACTTGTTGGCACAGTAGGGCTTTCATAAGGATCCAATTCCATTTGTGCAATCTCTTGCTATTTATCCTTTTACCTTTCTTACCCTTGGTCTTTTCAACAAGATATATCTGTATCAATTTCCGTTACCCTTCTCAATCCAGGTCTGGTGACCTTTTTCTTGAAGGTATCGTCTTTTCTCTCATGGAAATATACTTGCTAGTCTTTCATCATGATCAAACCTGGGAGACCTGCAGCCTTTTCACACACAGCTAAAATTCATTGTATCCAGAGATGATTAGTATAAACATGTTTAACTCAACAGTTTTAAACATGTTTATAGAAAATTTTCCCAGTGTGAACATCGTTTATACGATGTTGGGATAGATACGAAGTCGCGATTCATACGCCCCTAAAAGCAGGCTGCAGATACGAAGTTCGTATCTAGAGAGCTTGACATTTTGTGTGTGAAAGGTTATTCGTGTTTAAACGTGTTTCAGACGTGTTTAAACTGGATGGAGCGTGCACTTTGATTGATATGACATGACCTTCAATGCGCAATGGCACTACTGCGCATTTTACGAGCAGTAGTTAATCACGAAACGATTAATGATCGCACCGAAATTTCTGTGTGTGAAAGGCTTGTGATTAGTTTAAACACGTTTTAAACATGTTTATACTAATCATGTTTATAGAATTTTAGCTGTGTGTGAAAAGACTGCTGTACATTTTTCTTTTAATACAGAGGAGGCCTTTGTTGAGAGTCATAATGGCTTACCTGTTGACTACTGAATTCTCTCACTCCCTATAGGCTTAATACAGGGACTTCCCGGTTCAAGTATGCTATGGATTAATAATGCCCTTATGGCCCTCATGAGAAGAAGAACTGGGTATTTGTTGTCTGTTGAGAGCTAGAAGGGCATTACTGCTATATGAAACGATATAATCTTACACCGTTCTGTCTCTCAAGAGATGATGTTATGAGCCTAAAACTATGAACCGGAGCATGTCGTATGTGTAACACTTCTGTCAATGGTGATTATGTCTAATAGATTGCTATCAGTACCTGGGCCCCTTCATACATCCATGCTGCTATGAAATCTGGTCTGATCTATTCTGTCTCATAATGAAACTCTCTGTCTGGGTAACGGAGGCCTGGTCCAGATAGAAAGGAAGGAATTGAACCTAGATAGAATCTATATTTGAATGAAAATGGAAATTCAGTTTAGCTTCATAATTGAGTTTTTATGACACAAATTATGAAGCGAACAGAGGCTAGTGTTGATTGACTTTGATAAAGCGTGCACAAGCATGTACATGTATATGTGTAATAGTCCTCATATGTTCAAATGTTCATATACCAACATGATTGGTCAAAATGAGTACTCTCACTCTCTCTCTCTCTCTCTCTCTCCCTCTCTCTCTCTCACTCTCTTTCTCTCTCTCTCTCTCCCTCCCTCTCTAGCTCTCCCTCCCTCCCTCTCTCTTTCTCTCTCTCTCTCTCACTCTCCTTTTCTCTCTCTCTCTTTCTCTCTCTCTCTCTCTCTCTCTCTCTCTCTATTATTTAATATATATAAATATATATATATATATGTGAAGGATCTTGATAGATACTGCAATTCTAACTGTGGTAACAAAATTCAGTTGATCATTTTTGCATACCAGTATTTTATAGAGACAGAAATAATATATATCAAACAACCAAACCAAAATGAACAGGATTTAATTCCCTTTTTATTTAGCAAAACCTTGTGAACTCACTGATTTATAAAGCTTCATCAAAGTTTTGATTATGCTCAATTCACAGAAATATATTCATTTTCATTATTTTTCTGGTTTTCTTATGTCAAGATGATAAAAGCTCAATCATATGGGAAACAATTTAAAATAATTAAAAGAAAAAACATGCAGTAACGCTATTTGCAGATATGATATTCCATGATCAATATTTTCAACTTGAAAAAAGAGACACTGATTTTGGCCCCACCCTATAATACAAGGGCACTGATAAAATCTCAGACAGCTGCTACAGATGGGTGAGGTAATGTTTATGTTCTTGTAATGAGTACACAATGAGTCTGCTAATGGCCTCTCTTCCAATGTAAATATGCCTGATAGACTGACTAGACACAGGGAAAATACACTCACTGCAAATTGTGTTCACTAATGGGGTCCTCAAATAGAACATATCTCAAAACAAATCTTTGTTCCAAAATAGTAAGACTTAGAACTAGTGAATAATTCAAATTGTCATCATTTGATGCTGTGTTGGAGTGATCATTCTATGTTTACTGTGCAGGATTATCTTCTGGTAATTCTGCCAAAGCATTCATATTGATATCATAGCTGCTACATGTTTTTGGAAAATCATTTTGATTGTCAATTGTTTTTTTTTTAAACAAAATTCTGTTTTTGTCACTCTTTATGCTTGGTTGCCCATTTGTACACAAATGCGGTACATGAAATTATTCAAAATGTCAGTTGATAAAAGCATAGTTAAATTCATTCAGAAATCAGTCATGTTAATTGTATTACAGGAGTGTAAGGGGTGGATGACAGCAGTAATTTATCAGATTACTCAAACTGACCAAGTTTTATTCTTGGGGGCCTAGATTATTAACTGTTGGTCAGTCTCAATCTTTGGAGTTGTCTATGACATAGCACTGATCTATTGTTTGTCATTAGCAGGTGTTTAGTGGTTTTAAAATATATCACTCTAGAACCTGTTTAATATTAAGCCATTATATATCTGGGCCCTGTCTTATAAACAGCTGCGATTAATCACAACTTATTTGTGATTAATATCAATCGCAATTATGTACATAAGAGACTTTAGAGTGCAAACTCAGTTGCGATTCATTAAAGGACTTGCGATTGATTTGTATCAATCGCTACTCTTTGTAAGACAGGGGCCTAGATTGAACTGTTGAAATGCATGTTAAAGGGGAAGTCCAAGTCCACTCTGATATAAAGTCGGTTGTAATAGAAGCAAATAAGTGAGAGAAACATTTTGGTGAAAGTTTGAGCAAATTCTGATTAGAAATAAGAAAGCTATAGATTTGTGAAGTTGTGATCAATTAAACACAAATTGGGAACAATATGACGTCCTGTCCAATTCGACCTCTACATAAAATTTCATAAACTTTCATTTTCTTTGTTATTGATGATAAAATCATTTTTTTCCATAAAGGGTTCGAATAGAAACATATTTGCAATAATTATATTTAGGGTGCATGTATGATAGAAAATTTTCATGAGGGAAAATAAAACTTTAAAGAAAAATCTTTTTACAGAGCAAATGGGAGGGGAGCTCGCAAAATACATTGCAGAGTTGCCTAGTTGTGTTTGGCTGACCACAACTTCAAAACTGTATAACTTTTATATTTTTAATCAGAAATTGCTCACACTTCAACTGACCTGTTCCTCTCATTTTCTGCTTCTATTAAAACCAGCTGAATATCAGGGTTGACTTCCCCTTTACGTAAAAAGGGAGCTGTTTCCATTAATAGGTTAAACAAATGGTATGAGATTAAATGTTTTGAAATTATTTTCTTGACGATACAGCATTGGAGCTCAAATCCTTGCAGTGAACGGTCAGAGCCTGAAGAACATAGGTCTCCAGGAAGCTCAGAAGATTCTGGGTAATCTACAGCCTGGACCTGTCACGCTCAAGATAGCTCGCTACTCTAATGCTATGGTAAGCTTGTAACACTGCATCCCAACACTATATCAAATCTAATACACTTGATGTGTCTGTCATGTCAAATCAAATTATAAGTGAATAAGTTGTTATATTGGAATTTCTTTTTGTAATGATAATAATGATAACATTAATGGTAATAGAACCATCCTTGTATAGTGCATTATAAGTTTGAAGAGGGCCTACATGCTTTAAGGTAAAGGTGAGAAAAAAAACAGTAGAGATAGGAAATGTGTGGTATGAGTGCTAAATCAGGTATTAACGTGATCGCAAGGAGAATGTTAATGGCAATTGATATTTACGATTGAATTTCCCCAATTATTAAATTTGAATGAATATTTAATACAGTCATTTTAATAATGATAATGATAATATTCCATTCTTTGTATAGTGGATATCTTAGTCATGATTCACTTCCAAAGAGCTTTGAGAGTTGTAATGAATTCAATCGTTCTGGGCATAATATTAGCTCAATATGATTTGATTCAGAACATACTCCATTTAAAACAAAAAATAATGTAAGAAGTGAGAAGCTAATCATTTCCTACTCACTCCCTGATATTGTATTACTTACCTTTCATATCCAGCTGACCAAATTGGTAAGTTCCTGCAAGAAATCTTATCTGGTTTTGACACCAGATAGCTTCTGTTTGCAGCCCCTTCCTATTGAAGAAAATAATGTTCCTTGGTATTATGGTTTCAATTGGTGTTTCAACCTTATATTTATTGTGTTACATTCCCGTTACCCTACCTCCACAAATTGTGTACATGATATATTGAGTTCTAATAATTGGTCCGTATATTGTGTTACACATGTTACTGATAATAAATAATAATTTGAGCCATTACTCCATACCCACCTTGTGGTTTCCTGAGTATACCCCCCCCCCTTACATTGCCCCCTCCCCAATCCCATCCCACCCCATCCTATCCCACCCTATTCTTTGGTTGCCTTAGTATACCCCCTTCCCATGATAGGAAATCTATTTAGCTTGAATGTACTTGATGTTTCTCATCACATATGAATTAACTTTTATTTTATATCATGGTTTTTATGTAACACTGTGGTTTACATATTTTGATATACCTGGTGTAATATGCATGGGCCCTATATAATGGTTATACAGTGGTAAATTTGATTTCTCCAAGTAATCATATTGTAGCCTTTAAAAAAAGAGCTAAATATTGCATGGTTTATGAGTATAGAAATTAACTCAAATAAAAAAAGAATTGTGATAAAAATTGGCTGTTAATAATGCTTCACTGAATGTAGCTAGCTCTTAAATAGATTTGGTTATGAACAATTTATCATTGAATGTACAAAAAATAACATGAAAAGAAAGAATTGTGGCTTGATGTTTTTACATGTGCTACCTTGCCTTTAAGTTTTTTGTTTCATTGATGTATTAAGGTTGTGAATTATCTTAAAATGAAAGATATAATATCATCTTTCTGCTTTTGTGTAACTGACTGAATTCATATAATGTAGATATTTACTTTCCCTGTTCTATGTCATATGCATGTATGTATGCATCACAAGATGGACACTGTACATTACATTCCAAAAGGCTGTAATTAAGTAAGTGAAGCAGATTAATTAATGAAGAGGACAGGGATAAAAGAGAAATCAAATTGGTTGGTGTGTTTTACCTGACCATGTGACTGCTAGGAAAGCATGTGTTTGCTTGTAAGTAAGCAACCAGGGGACCAACAGCTTTTAATAAGTCCTCTCGAAGGGACTTGATAATGAGGATTAATGCTTTACCAAAGGGCGCTGGCGCATTGATTGTTTTGAGCCCAGGAACTCGTAGTTACAACACCACTGCTCTACCCCTGAGCCATCGCGCCTCACTAAAGGTTGAGATCTTTTATACTCTTTGTTAACCTTAACCACTGCAGCAAAAGGTCCTAATTGAGTTGTATGGATAAATCCATTTAATGTGATATTCTTAGATTTTCATCCTTTTGTTGTGATGTTATATCTTTCTTAGGACTGTGAGGCTGAGATGAAATATCTTCGTTCTAAGCAGCTCTCAAGCTCGGCTGATCAAGAGCCCTGCTATGAGAAGGTTGCTGATTGCCAGGATGATGAGGAAGATGATGAGGAAGAGACAGAAGGAGTGGGGTCAATGTCTCCATCGGCCATGTCCTGTGGATCAACAGCTTCTAGTAAAGGTAAACACGGTTTTCTTTCTTCTTCCATCTCATTTTATACAACTATCCACCATTTAATTTTGGTGCACAAATTTATTGATAATAACAACTTTCTTCCAAGTAATGATGAATAAATGGTCTTATACATTAATGAGAGCATGCATTAAGAGTTTAAGGCACCTTTGAGATCAATTACCCTTTATGGAGGAAAATAGAAAGGTTTACATACTGAATATATATATTAAGGTTAGGAAGACTTCAAATAGAAATATGGAGGCGGTTGAATTTTTATGAATTCTCACAAGTCATGGCACTAATTACCAAACCTATATTTGTTTCAATGATTCATGCCACTGCATTACTTGTTTGGGTCCTTGCCAAAGATTTCAATGATGCCCTGGACATTAATATGCTCTTTCCATTCTGTCATATTACTAATTTTATCAAAATTGTTTATTTCTATTCTTACTTGTCTCCATTCTTTTCAGATTTCTCTTTACCAGAATATCAGAAAAGCAACAGTGATAAGAGAAAAGGGAGCAAGGTAAGAGTCTTGTGATTATGTAATACCTTCATATTGCTATATTGATCTACATTTTGACAGAGGAACAATCATCCATGTTTGTTTGTCTTATTGTTTATGACTAGGATTCTTTATCGGTTTCCTTTAATCAAAATATAAGCTTGTAATACTATGTCTGTATTAAAGAGATTATGGAAGTCTTTGAGATATCAAAATCTCTAAATAAAGGTCCAATCGATTGGTGAGTAGCCTAGCTGATGTACCCACATACATTTAGAATGTTACTGGCTCTTAAATTGAATCCAAGTTAACTTTGGAACCATTCCTCTTATTGAGAAGAGGTAGAGGTTGTAAGAAACTTTTATTTGTACATATTTTTATTCAACTAATATTTCTTCCTGATATACTGTGGATTATTCTTAAGAAGATATATTCCCCCCTAAATATTCACAAGTTTATATAGAGAATTAGGTAAAAATCATGCCACAATATTCTTAACTTATATTTACTTACATTCATTTTTGTTATAATTATATATTCGTGTAAAACACTTTATTTCTTTGTCTTCAACTTGTAATATAACAATATTTTTACTTGTAAACTTAACACTGCAAAGCCAATGAAACGAGTATCTTGGGCACGTACGGTATGTTTGATTTACATCTGAATAGAGCCATAAAATATCTTTTCTTATCTAAACACCTTTTTGAAGCTTTGTAATAACTGTGAAGTTTTTGTATAACCTTTCATATGTATTTGCTTCATGTTTCTTCCCCTACCTAAGGTTTTAAATGTTACATCTGTATTTTAATCAGTTAATTTGCATATCTCTTCTTACTGGCTTTGCAATGTTTTTCAGAGGTTAGGAAAATATGCATTTTAGTGTACACAAGTGACGTTCAGTAGCATATATGGATACTTGTTTTCCATAATTTTTTGTAAGGGAGAAGAATATGAATCTATTAAATGTAGAATTCATACAGAAATAGAAACAAATTCTATGATATCTTAATACCATAGATCTTCTGCTTTGCCTTACTGGTTGTGTGTAAACAATCTTATCGTATTTTTAATCTACTTTTTTAGCTTAATTTAACTTTGTCTTTGCAGTTTTTAAAATCATGCTGTATTGTTGTGGTGACAATTTTTTTCAATTCTTTTTTGTTTTCTTTAACAATCAATCACACACAAGTCAAATGATCTTTTAAGTCGATGACAATAAAAAGTCCTAATTTTTCTCCATAGACTTACTTTTGTTAATTTTCTGTATTAGTTGAATAGTTTTTTTAGTTGAATAATTACCCAATTTGATCTAATTCCCAGAACAGATCCAAAGAAAAAGCACCTACTTCAAATTGCAAAGTCAAAGGAGACTGCAATCTATCAATCATAATTGTTAAAGAACGCTCCACGCCGATATTGATTACACAATACACCCCTGAACTCCAGACTTGTTGGCACGCTTCTCTCTTCTTCTCTTTCTTGTACCAGCCTCTCCACCTCTCTTACCTGCCTCTCTTATCTCTCTCTTGTCCCCCTTATTTTTTTGTACCCACCTCTCTTTCCGATTTTCCATATGCAGTCAAACTAGTCTACCACATGTGCATAGCGGGTAAAGTAGCGAGGTTCGATCCACACAAGTTACAAATGAATCATAACAATGCAAGAATTTTGTTTTAATCTTATTTATAGCAAATTTGTAACTTCGTACATGAATTCTCCAACCCTGCTCAAACTCTTATTAGAAGGCCCATTTACACAGCCCAAAAATTATTCTCAATAACCATCAGTGTTTTATTTATTGCCATTTACTCTACTGGAAAAGCCTATAAAAAGTGTTTGATAGTTTTGTTTTGTTGTTGCCCTGCATTCGTTAGGAAGGAAGCAAGGAGGGTCACTTAACCTAAAAACCGGAATCTTCACCACAAAATACAGTGTGATTTCTGCCTTAGTTTTAAAAAAACATACTCCAGAGGTGGGTTTTTAGTTCCAATTTTTAGTTGTGTTAACTGTTTGTTGCTTAGCAACCTCCGATGAAACATCGCAATCTGAGAAAAAACCAAAGATTTTTGCTTGCAGTGTAAATGCAGTTATTGTGACAACCTTGATTTCTCTCAGAAGTCCATTGTAAATACGATCTGATATTGATGTGGATGAGTAAGGATTCAAACAATGGTTTCCTGTTGTTTCATGAATCATTTGATAGGTACTTCCCTCAATCCCTAGACGGCTGCAGTAGAATCCCTGCATCTAGCTGGAAGGGATAAATAAAGGGAGGGAAAATAAAAAACATGTGTTTAATCATGACCAGAACAATGATTTTCCACTGACTAAGCTCTTGTTGCTATAGCAACATGTTTATGATGATGATCATGGCCATGAAAAGTGATAAAATTTATCATATATTACATTATACACACAATTGGGTTGGTCCTTTCCTGAGCAGCAATGTCAGATCTAATGTGAAAGATGATATCTCAAAATGACAATAAGAGGAATTGACCAATTGTTGCCATGATATTACTATTACACAAACACAATTCAGGAATTTTAAAAGTTTATTTTAACAGTTCCATGTCTTGTTACATTGCTACTCCAGATATTATTCATAGTTGGCAAAAAGTTGGCCATCAAAGTTTAGAGAAAGAAAGTCATTCACCAAAAGGTTCAAAATGAAATTGTGTCCTACAAAGCTACAATGCTTTCTAGACTTTGACACAAGAGGGCACTATCACAAATTTAGCAAAGTACTTTGTTCCTGATTATGACAGGAGTCCAGGATCATAATACATTTTGAGGGTGAAGGTTTTGTGTGGTTAGCATAATTTATTTCTATCTATTTATTTTCTCCTCCATTTACGGTACAGAAACAAAATGTCAGATTTAGTCACTTGCAGACCATTCTTCTTTTTGACTATCTTTTTCTTGTTTTTATTTTCACCATTCCTTCATCATACTTCTGATTTTCTTTTCCTTTCCCTCCTTTCTTATGATATATTATCTTTACTTATAAATGCCTACTTTAACAAATTCTTATTCTTATGTTTAGATATTTTTTCTTTTCCACTTTGCACCTTCTGTAACACACATTTGTCACACAGATCTCTCTGCAGTGTGTATTTGACTATCCTTTGTATACAGTATATTTTTCAATATACATGTATCTGGCTATCCACTTATCTTATTTGATATTAGTGTTTTAATACTTTTCTGCAAATTTGTATGTCACATATGAATTGAGTTACCTTTAAAGCTTCTACAATATTTTTGTAGTTCTAGCTTTTGTTTGAAACCACTAATATTATAGACATGTATTGATGATTCAGAATATACATGTAATGTTAGTATGGATGCTATAGACAAGATTAGTATGAATTTCTAAGTTTTCTTCATAACAATTTTTCTTCCTCATGAATCCAATCATAGAAATATTTTGTTTCAAAAGATAGCTTGTAATGTGAGTGTGTTTTCTTTTGTTTTTTTCTGCAGAGATTGGAAGTTAGCATAGACCAGACTACTCCCATCACTGAGGCTGAAGTAGAGAGAACAATATCACCTACTAGCAGTCAAGATGTCTACTCTACACCATGCACCAAGCACTCATCTACTCAGGGAGGCAAAGCAACCCTGGAGAATGGTCACAAGGTGAATGGACACAGAGGAAGCGGTCACAGTGAGGAAGATGAAGAGATGAACGGTACAACTGACAGTAAGAATCCTGTCATGAGGGTGGCAAGAACAGAACATAAGCGACTTGGTAGGGTTGGATCGGAGCTAGCTGCAGAGTTTGAAGCCTTTGTGAGTGCCCAGACATTGGAGAATGATTCCCTTCCTTGGGTCGAGAGCCAGAAAGTGGCCAGTGAACTGTTGAGTCTTCAAGAACACTTCAGCCAGGAGGAGCTGGCAGAGCTCAAGAACCTTGCCGATGGCAGACGATTGGAGGTGTTGACTATCAATAGGCAGTTTGGTGAGAAGCTGGGCATGGGTCTAAACATCCAGCACACTCAGGAGGAGAACAGTTTAACTCAGACTGTACAGATTAAAAGTGTCCAGGTGGGTGGGGTAGCAGAGAGAGCGACAGGGGGATCCAGTGGTATGGTAGTCGGGGATGAAATCCTGGCTGTGACCAACCAGATTCTCAAAAACAGACCGTATCTTGATACTGTACAGATCCTCTCGAACCTGCCTCTGAAAGTGAAGGTGGTTGTAGCAAGGCCAGAGGAATATTCAGAGGATGATGAATCAATGGCTCAAGATTCTCCTGAATATGAATCAAATTCCAGTGGAAGATCTAGCTGTGGGGATACAAGATGGGGTGAAGAGGACATCTGGAAGAGGATTGAAAACACCCAAATGGACGATGTCCTAGGAGTGTATGTCAACCCTAAAAGTATCCAAATTAATGAAAAGAACAGTCACACGTGGGACAACAAAAGTGAGGATATCTGGCAGAAAGTAGAAGGAAAGAAAAATGGCAGTGCTATTATCAAAAAAGAGAACATTAGAGTGAACTTCGTCAGTGATGTTAAAAGTCTTCCAGCTGGAACACGTCTGACTCCTTCGTACAAAAAGCACAAGCAGCACTTGAGGTTTGGCAGCAGAAGTCCAAGCCCTCGTACTCCTGCCATGGGAGAGGATACCCTGTCCAGAGACAGCTCTCCCACTGTCTCCTTCTCAATGGACCTCACTGATGAGAACGAGGAAGATTTAGAGGATCTACTGATGCTTGAAACAGAACCCTTAAGTGATCAGGATGAAGGTGACAGTGGACACCAGAAATCAATATACCTCACTCCACATGAATCACCAACAAACACTTCCAACCTTAAGTATATGAAATCTCTGAAGGTAGACTTGGATGATAGTCTTTATCAGACTCCAAGTGAACACTTTGGCTCCAAAGACACCATGGATGATTGTCTGGAAACCAACGATCCTCCTGTTACAGATATTGATGATTTACTAGGGTCCGATGATGGCTATATGGAGACAGAAGAAAGTGACATGACAGTCAAACCAGATGTGTCTCCAAGCAGTGAGCCATTACAAGTCAAAGCAACTACTTCACCACAGCTCAAGTCCAACAGAGATTTTCTACGCAATGATGCAAGGGGAATTGTTAAGTCTTCACCTGTCATTTCATCATCAAAGCACAAGGCTGGTATGATTATCTCCAAAGTAAAAACTCCAGAAATGTCTACTTCCCCTCCTCCAGTGAGCACCCCTTCCCCAAGATCCTCACCAACAGACTCAATGTCCTCCCAATCATCACAAGAGAGCAGCAAGTCTGATTCTTCAAAATCTTATGATGTAGTGAAGAGGGACAAGAAAGTCTTGAGTAGTGTGACCAGGAGGTTCAGGTCTTCCAGAGTTGACAAAGACGTGTTCAAGCAGAGAAGGAATATGTTTGAGGCAGCAAGTAAAGATGAAACTCCGCTGAGCTCTGCATCTCCAAAGCCTAAGCCGCTTGCAAAACCTCAGATATTTTCCAAAGTTGGCACAACACCTGCTAGTATTGATAAGGGCAATAAATCCATTGGACAAACAAAAAGCAATAAGTCTTCTTTTGCCAGCATTGCAATACCCACATCACCCAAACCAGGCGATACCAAATCTTCCAAACAGGAATCTATGCAAAATATAGATGAATTACCAAAACCACAGAGCCCCACGGCCAGACAGGATCAAGAAATCTTTGGGGCTGATATCCGGGCCATGTCCAGTGTTGCATCCAGTATGGAGCACTTGAATGAAACCAAATCAATAACTGATGAATCTTCAAATCCTCTAGTTTCAGCTGTAGATGACATCTTTGCTTCTGCAATGGATGATGCTCTTCATGACAGTTCATCTGAGGGATTATTCATGAGTTCTGAAGCTAGCCATGCAGACTTCACCCTAGATTCGAGAGCTGACATGCCTGTTATGAGGCCACCCACAGGCTTCAGAGATGATTCATCAATAGAGCCATCACAAACCCATCTAGAAGATCTTGATTTTGATGATGAGGATAAAGTACATGAGGACAATAAAACTAGGAGTGAGCTGGAAGAAGAATTGTCTGGTAGCAGTGGTGACATGGGTAAGAGGGATATTTCTGATTGTCAACCTAACTGGGATCACCGAAAAGGAACTGTCATCAAGGTTGTGTCACCTATTGTTGCCAGGAGTAAAAGTAGCTCACCTCAAAGTGGGCCAAAAAAAATCATCAAAGCTGATGCTCTCCATTTCAGTTCAGATTCCAGTGATGAGGAGGAGATGGATGAGGAGAATCCAGAAGTCCAGTGGCATGTCTTACCATCATCTTCTGAAGCAACATCAGCAGAGCGCACATTACAGGCACAGGGCTCCTCGGGTTCAGACAAAGGTGAAAGTCCCAGGGGCTTCAGGGGCAATGAGGAGCAGGCAGAATCAGTAACAAGTGATGAGACACCACTGTCACCTAGGTTGCCTCCTGATGGTGATGAGTTTCCTGAACAAGTTCAAGTATGTCCAAGTTCATCACCTTCGATACATGCTGGCACTGCACCTAAAGAGACAGACGATCAAGCTGAAATGCTACTGAGGGGCATAACAACCTCTGACTCCATGCCAGGGAAGAATACAAGTAATTTCTCTGGCACAGTTAGTGCAAAGCCATCACTTCCAAAGAAACCAAGCTTATCTAAGCTGAATACCTCTCTAAAAACTTCTGCAGTATCCACAGCACCCACTGCTAAAATGTCTCTCGCATCTTTGTCATCACAGTCACAGGGAAAGGTACAGACACCTACCTTTAAGGACATCAAGTTGAAGAGTCCACCTAAGATAGGAAATGATGATGTCTTTACATCTCCTCGCACAAGCCCCAAACTTGGGAGCCTCAACAGATGGGGCTCCAGGGAAAAGTCTGATGGTGATGATGACATAGTTGCCAAGAGAGGTGCATTGTTTGGAGAAGTGATCAAGAGAAGAACCTCATCTTCATCATCGTGCTCAACATCTCCCCCACCAACACCTGTGAGAACACTGTCACCAACTCATTCTCCAACTCATTCTCCACGCAAAATGGCTGAACCTTCACCATCTTCTCTCAAATCCAGTAAGATCAGTACAATCTCAAATGTCAGTGACAACAATCTTCCTGTACTTCCATCCTCAAGCCCACCCGTTAACATCAGGACAAAAGAAAGACCAAGGTATGCCAATACTGATTCCTTTAATGATGGCTCAGATAATGACCAAGAAAGCAGTGAGAGCTCATTGCAAGAAACACATTCTAAGAGTGCTGTTCTTTTGTCAGAATCAAAAGAAAGTGTGGCAGATGTTAGCGCATTAACAGAGGAACGTATTCAATCATCACCAGTTGCAGACAGTACTGTAGGGAAAGTAAGTGGTTCCTTGTCTCCTAAGAAAGTACAGTCTCTGATGGCTAGGGCTGATGGGACCTTGTCATCAAGAAGTGCTGCACCACCCCTCAAGCCCAGTCCAGCTTCACTCAAGCCATCCATTTTAGACTCTTTGAATACTGTTTCATCATCAAATCAGATATTTAAAGGACTCTCAGTTCCGAAGAAGCTTTCTTCAACCACATCTCCTGTTGGGTCCTCGTCTCAATCGGGTCCATCTAAAATTGGCGTTCCTTTGTTGTCCAGTTCTAAAGCAAAACCTTTGATATTGCCCATGAAAGGAGCTGCAGGAAGTGCAAGTTTACCCGGAAATGCTTTTAAATCAAAGCTCACTGCAAAGAAGTTCACATGGGAAACAGAGAAGGACCGGGCAAATACTACAAGTGAAACTGAGCCTCAGTTAAATTCTTCTGGTCGGGCAGCTATATCAACATCCCTCTCTAGATTGAGGCAAGATATCAAGTCAGCAGCTGCAACAAAAGAAACAAATGAACTGAAAGGAGAGACCTCTTTGACAAGTAGTCCAGACATCAACAGCAATGTGAAGGAGGAGCACAGCAGGCCCAAGGTGCCTTCCAAACCAGTTTTGGCTCGTAGGAATCTGTCTAATACACTAGCCTCAAAGAGCTCCAAGAGAGTGTCCTTTGAAGGTGATGATGAAGTCCAGCGAGATCTCACTAATGAAATCCATTCCAAAGCTCTCAATGGTGCGCAATCTAAGGTTTCTCTGAAGGATGATACTGTTGAGGATGTCAGTCTAGCAGAAAGAACAGTATCTAATGATGCTCCCCCACCACTGCCATTATCCAGTCCCCCCAAATCAGAAAGTGCATTTGAGAATACCAACCATACCAAACCTAAGACATTACCCCTCACACTCCCAACCAGTGGGTCTAACACCCTTACAGGCAAAACCAACCCCCCAATACCCACGTCCCGTAAACCACCTCTTCCCAGTTCAAAGCCTCCCACTGCATCTAGGTCCCCTCGGACAGGCATCAGCAAGACGGTGACCCCAACCATCGTGAGTGATGCGGATGATGATGCAGATGACGACGATGATGATGAGGAGGAGACGACTCTAGACATCATTGATGAGGAGCAGCAGAGGTCTCCACCGACGTTACCCAAGATGCCACCACCATCTCCCTCCAGACTGAAGAGCCCTGTGTATGATGTATCAGCTGATCTTCTCAGTAGTTTGGACCCAGAAGAAGGTGTGCTAGAAATCAGGGTAAGTCTCATCATCTCACTCTATTAACCCCTTCCACGTCATAGACAGCAAATCTACCTAACAATATAGATGCACATTCAGATTTGAGATTTCAGTGATCCATATTTTAAAAAGTGCTGAAAATTGGCTTCCACTGGCAAAACAAATACACAGGAAAATGGATGTTCTTATTTAAGTACAAAACAGGAAATGAAAATTTATGTAGGAAAAAGGGGGAGTATAACTATTTTATATATATTGGTATTCATTATGTAAACATACATACTAAATTACTCAAATGTTAATCTACTTATTATATTCTACATGAAACAGAAATAATTACAGCGGTGATTTTGAAGTTTGTTTCCATGGAATATTTTTAAACCCAAGTTTACAATGCAACAGATTATTGAAACCTCAAAATTTGACTCCTGGAAGTTAATTTATGATAATTTCATGTAAACCTTGTGATAGAGAAAGAGATTACAATTGTTAAATCATTTAAGTCTATCTTCTTATCAAGCATATTTATCCTTTTTCCTACATAAACTTTTCCTGTTTTGTACTCAAGAAGATTCATTTTCCTGTGTATTATTAAAAAACATAGTATATTTTGCTTTTTTAAATCTTGCACAAAGGACCTTCTTACCTATATTACTTTGGGAAATGAAGTTTGTGTAAAACCAAAAAATTTGTGACATTGACAATTTCTAATGATGCCTGCTTTGCAGCAAGATAACTTGAGAATTGCAAGAATCAAGTGCTGTGATTCAATTATTCCACAGCATGAAACGTGTGAAAGAGTCTTGCTTGTAGTTTTCAGTTAGGTGATTTCTACTCATAATTATGATTTCTCTATGTTTTCTTGTCTTACACCCAAACAAATGGAGGTCTAGGCATTACAAACTTGACATTATCAATAGGATATGGATGGATATGTATGGTGTGTGAATGATGTGGATTACTGAACTAAAAGCCAAGCTTGGTGTGTAGGAGAGAGAGAGAGAGAGAGAGAGAGAGAGAGTGATGTTTATACTCAATGAACATTGTAAGTTACTTGGAAATTCCAACCAATGTTGATGGATATAAGATTCAAGTATGAAGAGATCTTCATATACATGTATTAAAAAAAACTAATCTATATGTGTTCATAGCTGAAGTTGTGTTTTTGTATGGACAAATGTTAGTCATGTGACATTGATTTTTTGGGGGGTGCAAAAAAATCATAAGTTTACTTTCTTTCCCTGTTTAAAAAACATGAATGAATGTTTTTATTTCATCCTATTTAACACACCAGAATACAAAACAAAACATTGTTTTGTCTTTCTTGTAATTCTCTCACCTAGTTATTGAATGAATTATTGTGCTGTTTCTAAATCATGCACCATCAGTAGACGAAATATAAATCAGTTCTTGTTGTATTATTCCTAATTTACTAGCACATTTACAGAATGGAAGTATGAAGTATACATGTTGTCCCACTGGTAACATATATTGTCTATTCAGAATCAGATGCAGAAGAACGTTATATCTGTGCTAAAGTATATAACGTAACGTCCTTCTGGCTCCAAACACATGATACACGTTCTTGATTCATCTGATCAAAATAATTGAATCTACTACTCTACTAATCTACTAATCTAATTGGCATTGGGCTTTGTAAATGACAGAAATTTTATATGAAATATGATATATTTAGACTAGGCGTATAATCCATAAGTATATGGCATTTGAGTCTGTCATATACAATGTGGGATTAGACTCTAAGCAGTAATGAGATTCCCTATGAACCTGGTTATCTTTTAATAATGAGGTAGGGAGATGTAATTTGATAAGCCGGAGAAGACATGAGGGAAATCCATTATCAATTTGGCATCCTCCTGCATGTAATAACCTAGGCTACTTAATCTCAGTGACATGTCATCATGTTCAGCTCATACATTTAGAAAGGTTTAACCATGAAACATGCATAACATATTGAGCTAAGAAGGAGAGAAGTAGTTTTTATAATTCACAATGTCAGTAATTATTTCACATGCCTCAACTGTATAACATGTACTCTAGTTCATATATTGAGAGTCGATGTGTGTACTTGGAAAGGGCAGCCATCTCAGAATGATCGAGGCAGAGGTGTGACAGTCTAGAGGAAGAAGAGATTGTTAATTACATGTGAATTGATTGATTGATTAACTAAATAATCATCTGTTATGTCACTTGATACATTCTAAATTACGGAATGATAGAAATAGTTGTTATAAGCAGAGGTAAAGAGTAGAGGGGAATAGAGGAGAATTGAGGGAAGGGGATAGGAGGAGAGAGAGAGTAGAAGGGAGGGAGACGGAAAGGGAAAGACAGAGACTGGAGAGAGAGGGAGAGAGAGAGAGAAAGACACACAGAGGTAGACAGACAGAGACAGACAGAGAGACAGAGATGGAGACAGAAAGAGAAAGAAAGGGAGAGAGAGAGAAAGAGAGAGAAAGGGGGGGGGGTGGTAAGAATACATGATGATGAGAGATATTATGAATACATTGTGATGTTATTATAATGAGTTTGTTTATCTCCTGGTCTAGCTCCCCCTTGATACATGCAGTCCATTCCAGTGCATTTTAAACCCATCAAGTCAACAATCATTACAATAAGTAAAGTAGAAATACTCATGTGCTTCCACAGTACAGTCAGCTTGATGAACTCAGGGCTACTCAGAGACAGTAATTAAGTAAAAGCTTTTTGATAAACATTCTTCTTATTTTCTTCCCTGTATAGTACTTCACTCATTGCCCTTCTCCCTCTTCAATGTAATGTCTAGCAGTCTACTTCTATCAGGAGACCTTGATTGAAAAGACAATTATTATTGAAATTAGATTGAGAAAAGTACGTTGCATCAACTATTAAAGGGAGGTAGAGTGATATGGGCTCAATGGTGAAAGGGGAATGGATGACGAGCAGCAGCATCTATACTGAGCATGTATGCAGCATGTTTATGGAAGAAATGATGGCACATACAGGAATATATTACAAGGACTTATTATAGGCATGAAAATATTGTAATGATGGGTTACCTGGGTTACAAGACATATGTTATTGGCATTTACTTATCTTAGAATATATTTTTCAGCCTGGGAGGTAGATGTGTGAAGGTATAACTTGTACAGATTTTAATTTCTACTCTCAACCCTTATCAAGTTTTGTTTGTGTGTGTCACTCTCTTGAGATAGATACAATTTTTGTTTGTAAAGGTGGGATGAAAATATGAAGACTGATCGAAAGGACTACGGTAGTACATATTACAAAATACAGGCAAAACATTGAAGATCTTGTCTGCATCAGCCTTACATGTATATTCAGCCTAATTAAGGCATAACCATCCCCTTCCCATTCCCAGCTACTAGATCTTAAATATATTGGAATTATGAATATGAAACGATTTTCTTTGGATACTTAAGCCATCGTACATTTGAGATTAATCATACTTGTCTGATTCCCAACCGGAGAGTGTTATCTGTCACCAGCCTGAGGGTTAGATTTCAACATCCATACAAGCAGGAGCAGGATGATGAGTGAGATGTACTCAGAAGGCCTGTCCTCATCAGCTCGAGTTTGCCAAATAACCCGCTATTTTAACTACCGATATCCCGATTGCAAATCAGGGAAAAAATTACTTTAAAAATTTGGGGGGCTACTTTTCAAGCTTGCATGAAAATTATTCTTTTTAATTTGTTTGCATTGAACTCCATACAAATTTTTTTGGCTCTTTTAAGACTTTCGGGGGCTCTTTTGGGCATTTCGGGGGCTAATTAGCCCCGAGCATTTTTTTCCCTGTTGCAAATTAGCAAGTTAATTTGCGTCCTCATCAGCCTGCAGTTGCAATAGGCAAATATTTGGTCGAGAAAATATCCCAAGAAATGTTGGTCTTGTTTCCAAAATATCCTGCTATTTGGGAAATAGCATGTTACTTTGCGCCCGTCTGAGCTTTTGAGCTTCGGGATAATATCCCGAGTCTGAAAGTAGCGGGTTATTTGGCAAACTCGAGCTGATGAAAACAGACTCATAGATGGGCGTTTGAATTCATTCATGATATATGTCATTCGTTCCAGTTCACACAATATTCCTGGCATGTTTTCCAAGTTTTTGAAATATAGACCATGAAGCAATTTCATTAGCTACTGTTCTTGTGGATGAAGGAAGTTTTCAACAACAAAACAGTTCACATTAGAAAGAAAGCATAGACTTCAATCAGTAGATATCTCTTGAGTTTTCTATACTTCTATTACAAAGAAAGAATGCTTCTGTTTGGACAAGGTGACCTCTGCTAAACCAAGAAGTTACCAGCCATTGCTGGTAACTTCTTGCTGGTAACTTCTTGGCTAAACTTTACAAATAAGATGGCATACACATGATGTATGTTTGACTCTATATGTGTTAGATATCCATTCACAGGATTTAATTCTTCCATCTTATAATTTCATGCTATAGTACTGTTCTCACTGTCCAGTATAATTTTCTGCTTTCTTGATACATGTATTTAGAAATATTAATAGCAATATTGATAGCAAATCATTCTTTTAAAGTTTGTTGGAGGTAGACTACTTTCATTCAATGTGATGCAAACAGAATACTTCAAAGCATTAAAGGCCCACTGCACTACTTGTAGCTACTTGCGCCCTCTATATAACAAACCATGCTTAATCGGTGACCATTGGTCCCCCATGATCCTCTTTTTCTTATGTTAACTGAGAGCTGAGTTGATGAGATAACCACTTGTCCAGTGACCTTGCAGGGCAGTATAATCCCTCCTGTAAACTACGGCAGATAAGCTTTAAACTCCAAATAATTAGTTTGGGATTGTTCTGTTGTTATATTTTCCATAGCCCCTGTTTTGTTCATATACATTTCTAATCTCCTATATATCGTCCTCACAGTATAGAGCTTTTTCACCGCCCAGTAGCTTAGGAGAAGAGCACTTGATCATAGGTAATTGGTGATCTCAGGTCATTGGATGCAATTTGTTGAGGTCTGTTCCC